ATGACTTTATCGGTAAATATTATGTTACAGTTATTAGCTGGGCATGGTGGCTCATGCCTGTAATCCTAACTCTCAAGGAGGCCAAGGCAGGAGAATCATTTGAGCTCAGGAGTTTGAGACTAACCTGAGCAAGAGCAAGACCCTGTCTCTTAAAAAAAAAAAAAAATGTTACAGATATCATATTAGAATTGTTGCAGAATCTTAAAGTATTTATATTCATTCTACCCTGAAATATATAGGAGTTATTAGAACCACCTCAAACCTTAAGCTAATAAGGCACACCTATTTCTCTATCATAGACTTTAAAATATATTTTGATAACTGTATTTCAATAATTGGTTTCCCTTGTAAATCTATGTTATCTGTTCTATAGTGAAATACCTGCAAATTCTCACTGTGGGTTAGCAAATTAGGATGGATTAGTTATGTAGCCCTTATTAATACAAAAATGCTCATTTTCAAATGTTAAGTGCCTTGTGGTTTAAAAGCTCAGTACCAGGCAGAGTCGGAGGGAGAGAGGCACATGGAAGAGGAACAGCATCTACTTGTTTGTACACCAGTCTTTCTCACTAGGGCGGCAACTCTGCCTGGCACACAGCCAGCATTCAACAAATGTTTGATGATGAACTATATAAAAATGTGATTCCTGTGGAATGTGTACAAATAAAAATAGTTGTGCTAGGATTAGGAAGAGCTTAAATATCATTGTTTCATCATCTTTTTAATTTGAAACAATCTAATTTGGAAATAGTTGTATTTCTGGGCTGTGGTAAGGAATTGTGAAGACTCTTTATATTCATTTTCCTTATGTACAATAAAGACAATAATTAGTAATTAGAGGGAACATCAAAGTTAGCTTTTCAAAATAGGAAGTGGCCAATGTAGAATTTGTGTCGATAAAGATGTCCTGAACAAGGGGTACCCTGATTCCTGCATATTTACATTTGTTTATCTTTACCATGGACCTTTTTTCCAGAATAGACCCAGAACTGGCCTGCTATCCCAGCCCAAAAGGCTGGATTATAAAAGCCTCTCATTTTCAGATGATCCGCCCACACCAAACACGGTTGGTTCCCTTTATTTTATACAAGATACCTTCGACTGCAAGTTCATCATAGACTTCTCAAAGGTTTTTGGTGGTGCCCTCTGATGGTTACAAAGAATTGCAACAGCTCGATTGGCACGGTTATAAGAAAGGATCTTTGCTGGGGTGTTCTCATCCGCTGTAAAGACAGACACGTGACAGTAAGGGAGTCAGTTCGTATACCAAGAGTACACACACTATGTGTTCTACCCAGGATTTTACTGCCCTTATCTCACTCAGAGATGATCAATTCAAGTTTCCCCCAAGGCAAAAGGTCAAAATTTGAGTCAACAGTTGTAAGTAAAGACAGCAGAAAGTTTATATGTAAGCTTAGCCTGAGTAAAATTCCCATCGTGAGAGAAATTCTGAGTGTCAGTAATACTACAATCTATACCTTTCAGGGAGTGTGGCCAGGGACTCTTCATCTGCTTGCCTCACTCCCCCCATACCTCCCTCCCCATCCAATGTAGCTGAAGAAAATGTGGAATTTGGACAGAAAAAGTATATAGAACAGGGTGAGACAAAAGGGACTTTATGTTTTATATTTTTAAGCTGTAAGGTAGTATATTATTTAAAAAGAAAAATTATAAATGTCCTCCAAAGAAATTCTTTACTTGTACCATGTGATATTCTTCATCCCTAAATACTGACTAATCCCTCAACACCCACCTCTGCTTTTCTGGCTCATATTCTGAGGCCATTTGACATATTTAAAGGGCAGTGGAAATTTAGTAGTGACTGGGCTCTAGGAAAAAAAGCCTGTGGACTTGGTGATACCTTCTGTAGCTAGTTTTTAGACTATTACCTACTTTCTTATGGGGGAAAAAGTGACAGAAACTTCAAGGAAAAGACGTGCTCCTCTATTTTTCCAGTAACCATGACAACTTTACTCTCTCCAATTTTTTTTTTTTTTTTTTGAGACAGAGTCTCGCTTTGTTGCACAGGCTAGAGTGAGTGCCGTGGCGTCAGCCTAGCTCACAGCAACCTCAAACTCCTGGGCTCAAGCAATCCTTCTGCCTCAGCCTCCCGAGTAGCTGGGACTACAGGCATGCGCCACCACGCCCGGCTAATTTTATATATATATATTAGTTGGCCAATTAATTTCTTTCTATTTATAGTAGAGACGGGGTCTCGCTCTTGCTCAGGCTGGTTTCGAACTCCTGACCTCGAGCAATCCGCCCGCCTCGGCCTCCCAGAGTGCTAGTACTCTCTCCAATTTAACAGAAGATCACACAACTATATCTTCACCCTGTGAGGTTTTAAATAACATATACAAAACACAAAATACAGGCATTTTCATAGCAGGTAGAAAGCTCATGGGTCAGTATCCCATGAGATTAATCTAGAAAGCTGAGGTGGGAGTGGGGGAAATAGCACTGATCCTATGTTTATACAGTAAGCCTTGGCTCTCTATTAGAGATCTGAAGGGAAAGTTTCCAGTCACAATGGTAAATAGAAAAAGTAGAACTGACTTAGCTAAGCTAATAGGAGTGTAGGCCCTGTCTGGACAAGCAATACTTACGGACTGTGAGTTCTTTTAGCTGTTGCTGTAGCGTGATGGAGGCATTGTATGTACGGAATACCTTGGCTGTCAAGCCCTCCATGAGATCCTGAAGATGCTTATTTAGAATACCAGTCTGGAGGAGACGAACCAACAGAGAAGATATTGGAATTTAGGTAAAAGCTGTATCACCCTGCCCCTTCTAGAGTCATTTATGCCAGAGCAGTCACAATCTTGTCAAATTTATTGCAAGCAGGAAGTTAGGAAAAGACAGAAAAGAATTCCAGCATAGAGACTTACATTATGCCTTCTTATGAAATATTTCAATCTTAAACAAGCCAATAAAGCAAATCTGTCCTTCCCTATTAAGGTATCAGGGACAGGTTTTAGGTCTCCAGCAGAGGTTGCTGGGCATCCAGCCAAGGTAGGGCTCTGTAGGAGCCAGGGGAGGATAAAAGGCAGGGTTCAACTAACCCCCTGCCTCAAGGCTTTTTGGCAGCTGTTCTACAGCAGAGAGGTATCTGCTTCTGGCCATGGATTCAGTGTACACAGAAGGAGGAAGAGTGTATAGGACGCCACAAGACAGGCTAGGCTGAAGGGACAGCTTAAGTCACCCCTTGGTAACTATTTTCTCTTAGAAGCTTGTGAGGCTGCCTGGGACTCCCTTCAACCCAGCACACTTTGTTTACTTACATTGAGTCTATCGAAAAGATCATCTTCAGGCTGCTTGTTCTCCATAAATAGTTGTAGGTTCTTAAAAACCTAAAAGAAACAGATAAAGCCTAATTATTACTTTTTTTTTTACAGTCTCACTCTGTTGCCCTAGTTAGAGTTGTGTGGCATCAGCCTAGCTCACAGCAACCTCAAACTCCTGGGCTCAAGCAATCCTTCTGCCTCAGCCTCCCAAGTAGCTGGGACTACAAGCATGTGCCACCATGCCCGGCTAATTTGTTCTATATATTTTTAATTGTCCAATTTCTTTCTATTTTTAGTAGAGACGGGGTCTCGCTCTTGCTCAGGCTGGTTTTGAGCTCCTGACGTTGAGTGATCCTCCCGCCTCAGCCTCCCAGAGTGCTAGGATTACAGGCGTGAGCCACCGCGCCCGGCCCTAATTATTATTTTTTTAAAAACTTTTACTTTAGAAATAATTCCAAAATTACAAAAACTTGCAGAAAAAAAGAAAAGGCACAAGGAACACCCCATGTATCCTTTACACAGATTTACTGTTAACATTTTACCCTATTTATTATTTGTAAAGTGCACGTATCTGCTCACTCTCTCCATGTAGGTATTTACATAGGTGTATACAAATTATTTGTTCTGAGCCATATATGTTATGGCCCTTTAGCTCTAAACATTTTAGTGTATATTTCCTTTACATTTACATAGTACTTATCAGCTTCATAAATTTACATTGATACATATTGTTATCTAATTTACTGTCCATAATCTAATTTTGTCAGTTGAACTAATGATGCCAGTACAAAATCTAATCTAAGATCAGATATTACATTTAATTGTCAGGTCCTCTTTGTTCTCCTTTAACCTGGAGCATTTTACATAGTCAGCAAAGCCTAATGACTGAATACAGATCAGAATGCTGATGGGCTGGATTACTGGGCTTCCAAGCTCTGCAGGTCTATGGTTCAAGCCCAATAATTTGGGAACCATTAGGCTGAGATTATGTATCCTCTTCAATGATGGGCTCAGCAATATGGGACTAAAGGGTTAACCTTTCACTCAGTCAGGAGTTAGGGAGAGGCTGAGCTAAGATGCAGAGTGATCAACGTGCAATGTGACCAGCAGATACTGAGATGTGGTTAAAAGATTAAAACAAAGCGGTAGGGTCAAACATTATGTTTGCTGTGAGGGCCAACTCTCTACAACATGCTCTGTTGACTACTGCTAGGGAGATGGCCCTTCATTCCCAGGAAGATAGCACAGAGTGGGGGACAAGGACTAAAAGGAGGTATATAGTACAACAATACCTCTCCCCTCTCTTTCAAGCCATTTATTTTTATTTATTTTTTAGAGACAGGGTCTCGCCATGTTTCCCAGGCTGGAGTGCAGTGGCTATTCAGATACTACTGTGGCACTCAAAGTTTTGGCCTCAAGTGATCCTCCCACCTCAGCCTCCCAAGTAGCTGAACTACAGGTTTGCGCCACCACACCTAGCTCAAGTCACTTTTGCTAGTGCCCAGCAAAGTGTAGAGCACATGAAAAGGACTCAGTAAATGTTTGTTGAATGAAAGAAAAACAACCCAGGGAGTACAGGCCACATTAACTTACCCGTTTTTCAACAGGGACCTTGTTATAGTATCTGATTGAGTCCTTCCCAGGGAAGTCAAACTCTACCACATATTCCTGACCATCCAGCTCTGGGTGCAGATTGATGTGTTCCACACGGAGTGAGCAGCAACCCACGGTGTCCGCAGTTTCTCCTTCCTCCTTCTCATTGCCTGCTCTCAAAGCAAGCTACCCAGAGAGAGAAAGAGAAAATAGGTGAGCATGAATGAAAAGATGTGACCCTCCTAGGATCTTTAGGAAACCACAAATAGAAGCCTCTCAATTCTCTTTGGGGACAGTCTGCATGGCCTGGGAACTCTGTGTTCTGCACTGTTACGTCTTCCCCCTATGAAAGCTATGGGGCTATAATAAAGATTCAAACTTCTCTTTTCTCTACTTTGTCCTCTGAAATGGGGATGGAGAAGAGGAAGAAAAACAATTTTTAAGAACAAGGCAGCAAATGAGGGAGTGATGCTATTCTGGGCAATCAGACTCAAAAAGCTAGTGTTTGAATTTTGAGACAATTCAGAACTTATGCCAAATACAAGCAGTACACGATTGGGGGAAAAAACATGAAATCTTATTCTTCTCATGAGCACAAAGAATTGAGCTCCTCTAGAGCACTGTCTTTAAAATTGTGGTTGTGATATAAGCATGGTTTCCTTAACCAATTTTATGTGTTATAACCATCTTTTTCTAAAAGAATGAAATAGAGTGTTAAAAAAAAAAAAAAGAATCCACTGTTCGTATAGCTAAGCAACATTTTATGCAACTTTTGATTCAGTTACACACAAACACATTTATATGCATGTTGGGTTATGATATAAAAAATTTATTGTGGGTCATGGTCAAAGAGTTTGAAAATGTCACAGTATCCCTGACACATTCAGATTCACACAAATCCTCCTATTAGGCAGGATGTATTCATACAGCAGCAGACACACTGTGCATGCCTCTGTCCACTTCTGCCTTACTGAGTGGATCAGATCTGTGGCAAGATGGTGGGTGTCAGGGTGTCACTGTCTCTCTAGTACTTGGCACAGGGCCTTTGTTAAGCTGAACACTACACACATGCTAACGAGAAGATGCTCTCACCTTGTCAATGAAGTACAGGGCTACAGCTCTCTGCCGGACTTTCATCTCTTTGGACTTCCAGTCTTCTCGATATTGGTTCCGGATCTTGTCCACACATTTCTTTAGCCGCCGAGCAATCTCATATTTCTGCCAGTCTTTCTCACCCTGCAAAGATCCAACCCCAAAGGTGGATAGCTTAGGGATGGTAAAGACAAACTTTGTATATCAAAGTTCAGAGCTCTGAACCAAAGAGCAGGTGCCTGAACTTAAACGAAACTGAAAAAGAATAGTACTGATGAGAATGTCTGAGGCATTTAAGCTGATGAGAACACATGCTGTCCCATCTCACTGTCAAGCACAACTGGCTCCTTGTCTACCCACTAAGAAAGCTTCTAGCTTTTTTTTTTTTTTTTGAGACAGAGTCTCACTTTGTTGCCCAGGCTAGGGTGAGTGCCGTGACGTCAGCCTAGCTCACAGCAACCTCAAACTCCTAGGCTCAAGCAATCCTGCTGCCTCAGCCTCCCAAGTAGCTGGGACTACAGGCATATGCCACCATGCCCAGATAATTTTTTCTATATATATTAGTCGGGCATTTAATTTCTTTCTATTTATAGTAGAGACGGAGTCTCGCTCTTGCTCAGGCAGGTTTCGAACTCCTGACCTCAAGCAATCTGCCCGCCTCAGCCTCCCAGAGTGCTAGGATTACAGGCATGAGCCACTGCACCCGGACAAAAGCTTCTAGCTTTTATTTTGTTTATGTTCTTGGGGAGGCCCACATGGCACGTGCCAAAAACTGAATTCTGTCAACACAAAGGGTATAAACACCTCCATTCCCACTTCAGCACCACAATCTTGCTGCCAGATCTGTGGCCCAATAGCAGTTTTCTGCTAAGACTGAATTCCATTAAACTTAAGACAACCACTCACAGTTTAGTGAAGCTGTCAAAGAGGCAGAACCAATCAGTACATCATGTAATTACTGAGAAACACAATGATTTCCAGGTTCTGCATTTAAAAGTGCTCCTTGAGTTGACTGAGACAATGTTTCTGGAAAGATTTTTTATTTTTAGGAAAAATTAGAACTTTGGGGGCCAGGTATGGTGCCTCACGCCTGTAATCCCCACACTTAGGGAGGACCACTTGAGGCCAGGAGTTCGCGACCAAGATGAATAACATTGTGAGACCCTGCCTCTACAAAAAGTAATAAAAAAAAAAATTAGCCAGGAATGGTGGTACATACTTATAGTCACAGCTATTCAGGAAGCTGAAGTGAGAGGATCACTTGAGCTCAGGAGTTTGAGGCCGCAGTGAGCTATGATCACTGCCACAGTACTCTAGCCTGAGAGACAGAGCAAGACCCCCCATCTCTCTTAAAAAAAAAAAAAAAAAACACAAAACAGACTACATGACATGAATACAAAGGAATTTAAAAATCCAATAGTCTTTGCTTTTGATTACCCCACTCACAACAAAAGTTGGGGTAGTGATTTCTACCCAGATATGCCTAGTTCCTGCCTATGACATGAACATGTGGTCCTTGAGGCAGAAGAACTGTGGTCAAGGTAACCAGCCTTCTGAGTGTGCAGAGGCGTGGGGTACATGCAGCAAGAAATGTCTTTCACTTCTACATCCTAAAAAATGCTCAGAAATTAAAGCTTATACGGGTATGCTAAGCACTCTCATCAGCACTCTCCCACAATCATGTGTATACTAGTTGGATGTACTTGTTTGACTACAAAGCAAGAGGTTCAGTAACGACTCACTATTGTGGGTGGGTGACTTAGTAGTTGGTGACGCAGAAAAAAATACCTAAGCCTTAGTTTCTGGGGAGCTGAAAATTTCTCACCGATGTTTCTCAGTACATTTTGACATTTTAAGAGGGTGAATAAGAAAAGGTGTGATACACACTGTCCTCATGCACAAGTCAGCATTAAATCTCCATGACAATCGTTCTCACACATACATAGAAAAAACTGGACATGAAAGATTCATCTTCAAGAGTACAGTATCCAGCTTAAGAATGGCTTCTTTCCCCTCACTCTAATGCACACAGGCCAACCAGCCTATCTCAAAGTCTCACTATATTGTCCAGGCTGATCTTGAATTCCTGGCTTCAAGTGATCCACCAGCCTTGGCCTCCCAAAGTGGTGGGATTCTGGGTGTTAGCCACTGTGCCCAGCTGGGTGTCTTTTTAAAACTAGCGGGCCCACAACATTTTTTCTTTTTAATATAGCTGCTTATCCATTCTGCAGAGTGGTTAAGTGGGATCAGGACCTAGATTCAAAATTGCAAAGTGGGAGGAAAGGAGGCAAACTAGACCCAATTCTCTAATACTTTCTGAGAGACTTGTGTTGGGGAAGACCACATTTGCCAATATCCATACATGGCTCTTTACTTTTCCCTAGGCTGGTGATCCCTATGTGAGTTTGCCATTGTGTAGAGCACCAAAGGGTGAATAGTACTCTGAACCCCAAACATTCGTCATTTACATAAAAGACACAACAAACTGGCCCTATGTATGTATGCCATGATTAAAGATAAAACCCGACACACTTTCTATGCATGCCCATTTTTAAACATACTATCTGGATACAAGTCCTCTATCAAATATCATTAGTCGACTACAAATTTTCTTCCAACAGTTTTTTTTCTCTTTTTAAAACCTCAGTCACCTTTCATTTTGAATTTTTTTTTTTTTTTGAGACAGAGTCTCACTTTGCTGCCCAGGCTAGAGTGCTGTGGCGTCAGCTTAGCTCACATCAACCTCAAACTCCTGAGTTCAAGCAATCCTACTACCTTAGCCTCTCGAGTAGCTGGGACTACAGGCACACGCCACCATGCCCGGCTAATTTTTATATATATTTTTAGTTGGCCAATTAATTTCTCTCTATTTTTAGTAGAGATAGGGTCTTGCTCTTGCTCAGGCTGGTTTTGAACTCCTGACCTTGAGTGATCCGCCCGCCTTGGCCTCCCAGAGTGCTAGGATTACATGTGTGAGCCACCGCACCCGGCCTGAATAAATTTTTTAAAGTCTTTATATGTTACATAGATATACAGATTAGTTTACAGTTTGATCAGTTATGACAATTCATAACCCAGGGAAATCTACACCCCTATGAAGATAGAGAATATTTCTACCATTCCAGAATATTCCCACCTGCCCCTTTCCAGTCAACCTCCCACCAAACCACCACTGATCTTTAATCTGATTTCTGTCATCATATATTAGTTTTGCCTAGTCTAGAATATTATATAAATAGAATCATACGGTATAGACTTTTGTGTTTGACTTTTCAACATGTTTTTAAGATTCATCCATGCCGTTCAATATATCAGTAGTTCACTCCTTTTAACTTCCAATAAATACGGTATGTTCTAGGACTATACCTTATTGTCCTGGGATGTTTCCAGATTGGGACTCTTATGAATATAGTGCTGTTATGAACACTCTTCTACAAGTTTTTTTGTGGATATATATTTTCATTTCACTTGAGGTAAAATACCTAGAACTGGACTAAGTATCTTATTGTGGTTTAAATCTTCATTCCACTGAAATTAAGTGATGTTGAACACACTTTCATGTACTTATTATTTATTGACTATTCCTATATCTTCTGTAAAGTATATGTTCAAATCTTCTGTTCTCTTTTATGGAGATGTTTGTCTTTTTACTATGGAGCTATAGGAATTATTTGTATATTCTGGATGTAAGTCCTTTTCAGATAAACATGGTGCAAATATTTTACCCTAGTCTGTACCTTGTATTTTAACAGTGTTTTGTAGAAGTTTATAATTTTAATGAAGTCCATTTTATGAATTATATCTTTTATTGTTAAAAAAAATAAGCCTGTAACTTATTTTCTCTTTCTAGTAAAACTCTGCAAAATCAGAGCTTTCCAAGACTATGAGTTTTGTAAAAATGTTTTCCTGCACATCTAGCCCTTTAATCACTAGGTGGTTACATTTAAAAGGCTGTAGGCACATACATTTTTGAAACCCCATAGAATTACACGTTCTAAAGAGAAAACAAGGCAGAAGTGTGCATTTGGCACTGAGAATATTTTAGTAAGAGTAAATGCAATGTGATGTTAACATTGATCCTGAAGTACTGTTCTTCATTTTAAAGAAAAATCATGATGATGAACTCTACTTGTAAACTAGTCTGAATAGCCTTATTTTTACTAAGGTCTGCTTTCCCAGGTTATGAGAGCAGATAATACTTGCAAACTTGGCAGTAGGTTGTATTTAACAGTGAGTACCTATAAGCAGTCCTTCTGTAAACTCCTAGATTATCTGGGATCAAAAACTTCTGTGTTATCTGGGATCAGAGTGCTTCCTTAGTTGAAATTACAGGTTCCAGAGGCTGGCTGTCATTCCAATGCTATTTCAGATTTTATAGGCACTAGGCACAGGGTAGGAGAGAAAGGGAATGAAAATACTTGCAAGAAGATGTCTGTAAAATGGAAATTCTGGGAGGAAAAGCAGAACAAACCAGGATGAATGTAGAAAATGTGAATGAGTTCAGGAAAACATTTTTAGTACCTGGAGCATGTGTTTATTGAGGCTCCCTAAAATCCCGATCTTTTCAATGACCTTTGAGGCTGAAAATAGTGTAACCTATTGCAGGTAGCCCAATCCAAGTTTCCAGACAGGGGGTAAGGACAGGTTATATCAAGGGGAAACACTGCAGCTGCTACACTTTTGTGTTCTTTTACCCTTGAATGCTCCAACTTTTCAAATTGTCAAAAATCTGTAATTCACATCATGCTTGTACTAAATGTCTTGATAGAACAGAGATGGGATAGAATGGTACAATAATATTACATGGGGAATGTGAATGAGTAAAATATAGATACAAGAATAGGCAAAGTGTCTTAGAATGGGAGACATCTTCGGAGGCTGAGCAGAAATGTATTGAACAAAAGTACCATGATGGTAGGTAGCCTCCCATATCTTAGGCCTAAAGTCCTTCATGAAGTACAACCACCATTTACCACTCTACCACAAAAAACTGCTGGGTCATGATAAGTCAGTGAAATCATACTTTAATCATCCTTTTGCTCCAAACATATAGCAACAAAAGTGTTCCATGCAAGGGGGGACCTGTATTAGCTTGGGCTGAGCTGACCTAGGAGATTTCCTCTAAGACGGGAAGGAATGAGCGGACAAGTGGTGGGAAGGAATGAGCGGACAAGTGGAGAGGCAAGAGGAGGAAAAGAAAAGGGAACAATACACAGACAAAACGCACTTGCCAGTTAAAAGGGCTTATGAACAGAAATTTCAAAAGACACTCAGAAAACTGCAAGTAAAACAATTAGCACGTGAATTCATTTCAGGTAACATTTTATATAACAATCTTAAAAGGACTTTCAAATAAGTATGTTTAGTATGCATAAAGAGAAAAAGATGTAAAATCTAAAAATGATATTATAGTAAGAACAGATGAAATAAAATCAGATATGAAATGAAATTCTGAAAATAAAAGGTAGTAAATTATAGATGGAATAAACTTTAGACTAAATACAATAAAGAATACAAAAACAGTTTAAAATGATTGTGTGTAGATTGAGAGGCTCCAATATTCATCTAATAGGACTCTAAAAAAGAAATGGTTGAGGTTGCTGTGAGCCAGGCTGATGCCATAGCACTCTAGCCCAGGCAACAGAGTGAGACTCTGTCTCAAAAAAAAAAAAAAAAAAAAAAAAGAGAGAGAAATGGAATGGTGTAAAAGCCACGTTAGAAATAATGGCTGACAATTTTCAAGAATAAATATACATTAGTCCTCAGATTGTAAGTTCAAGTACCTATACCTAGATACAGCATAGTAAAACCACAGCCTATCTATGGCAAAGATACATTCTGTATTAAAGAAAAGATGGGTTATAAGTTAAGATGAAAATAAAGACATTTTTCAGGTAAACAAGGGTAGGTGTTTGCCACTGCTACATCTTCATTCAAGAAAACCCAGAAAGTATGAGATATAAGAAATGCAGAGTACAGAAATTAAATATCTGACTGTGGTAACTACTGACTAGGGAAAATGTTAGGGTTTTATGGATTTTAGAACTAATAAGAGTTCAGCAACTCTTAACTTAGTACCCATCGTTATCTATTGCTACATAAATAAGATCAACCTCCAAAAATCAAAAGCATTACCAATCTAGTAGTAACCAACAGAAATGTAATAGAAAAAAATCTCATTCACATTATCAATAAAAACTGTAAGGTCTATAAAAATTCAAGTTTTAAAAAATGTGTGAAATCTCTATAAGAAAATTACAAAGCCACATTGGAGGATATCTTCAAAAGGCATGAGTTAATAGAGAAGTATAACATGTTCATGGACTGGAAACACAAAAACATATTGTCAGTATCGTTCCTCTATTAATCTATAAATTTAATGCAATTCCAATAAAAATCTCAACAGTTTTCATCAGAACTTGACAGGCTTACTTCAAAATTAATATGAAACAGCAGAAGGCCAAGAATAACCAAGACAATTAAGAATACGATGAAAAAAATATTTCCTACTCAGTAGACTCTATAAAGCTACAGTAAAGAAAGTATGCTATTGATGTAGAAATAGACACACAAATTAAACAGGACAGAGAGCCCAGAAACAGTCTGACATATATGTAGAAATGTGTTATATGACAAAGGAGGTAATACAACTAAATAGTTCTGGGACAACAGGTTATTTGGAAATGTATTAGATCTCAATCTCATACCATACACAAAGCAAAACTTCAGAAATATTAGCAAGTATTAACTAACACTTGTTCTAACAAGAAAAAGAACTTGTACACATCGGTGGTGGGAAGGAATGGTGGAGATATAAATTGAAGTACTTCAGAGAATAATTTGGAAATATCTAATAAAAGAATTTTCATCCACATGCATAAGAAAAATGTGTTTATTCCACCAGTTTATAATAGCAAAAAAGTGTATAACAATGGCAACTGCCTAAGAAGAGAACAGACCAGTTTTTATAATAGAATACCATGTAGCAAATAAAATGGATAAATTAAAAGTTATGTCAAGATACTAAAATTACCAAAGCTGGAGTGAAATAAACAAACTGCAGCATTAGGTATGTTTTAATAACATACCTAATTTAGAACTATTAATAAAACTTGCAAAACAATATTACATGTTTATGCACACATAAATATACTATAAAAATGCAAAAAGTAGGCCTGGAGCGGTAGTTCATGCCTATAATCCCAACACTTTGGGAAGCTGAAGTAGGAGGATCACTTGAGGTCAGGAGTTTAAGACCAGCCTAGTCAACATAGTGAGACCCTGTCTCCACCAAAAAAAGAAAAAAGAAAAGAAAGAATTAGCTGGGCATGGTGGTACACACCTGTAGTCCCAGCTACTCAAGAGGCTGAGGCAGGAGCATCACCTGAGCCCAAGAATTCAAGGTTGCAGTGAGCAACGATTGTGACACTGCAATCTAGCCTGGGCAAAAGAGCAAGACCCTACCTCTTAAAAAATAAAACACACACAAATAAAAACATAGAGTCTGTCATAGTAATCTGCAGGGAAAGAGGTAATGGTATACAGGTGGCTCCAGTTATGTTTATCAGAATTATTTTATGGAATAAAGTAATTGAACACATAGGACATAATGTTAAGAGTTGACAAGCCAGATGGTGAGCTCATTACATTATTATCTATTGTATAACTGAAATATTTCACTAAAAATAAAACCCCCAATGCTTGTATGTTTCTTTTTTTATTTTTATTTTTTGGTATCTAAAAAGAGAATGCTTCTCCTGGAGCAATGCAAAATTAAGAACTGTTCAAGGTGCTGTCAAACCTCAACCTCTGAAGATCTCACTGTTCTCCTGAGTGGGAGACAGCCTAAGAGAAGATCAAGAGCAAGCTTAAGAAATCACATTTCTCCTTCCCACAATGGTAGCACTTATCCAAGACTTTAATGCCTGTTGTTGGGATCCAGTTCCAGTTGACTGAAATCAGATACTCTGTCCTGGGTATAAGGTTCTAGGCAGGGCCTAACTCTGGGTGACGTCTAGGTTTGCCACCATAATCATCATCCAGAAACCTACACAAATGCCTACTGTGTAAAAGCAGTTATCCAGATATTGTCTGGAATAAAACTGGCTGGCTCTCTGCTCTTAAAGTGCCCACCAGGCCTATCTAACAAGGATTTCAACCTTCAGAGATTACAATCAACTCTAATCCTTGCCTGTACAAGTACTCAGAGTACAGATATTTGGACTCTGTTTACCTATTTCCATTCCCATTGCCATCATATGTCTAAGTCATAACCATTTCTTGCCTGGAGTACTAAAACAGCCTCCTATTGGTCTACTTCCTATTTGCATCTAATCCACGCTCCATAGAACAGAGGTCAGAACGACCAATTACTTAACAAGTTTCTAAAATACAAATCTGGCATTATTTCCCTGTTTAAAACCCAGCTCAGTGGCTTCCTTTTGGACTTAGGATAATGTAAAAAATTTCAAAGGATCTGAAAATATGGCTGGCCTTCCTCTATAGCCTCCCCTCCTGATTCTTGTTCACTGTACTCCAACTATGCTGGCCTTCTTTTTGCCCTGAAAACTACTGAGCTCTTTCTTACTTCAGGGATTTCAAAGGCTATTTTATTTTTCCTGTCTGAAACACCCATTTCCCTATCCTTTCCAGGGATAAAATCCTATTCATCCTATAAATCTCATCTTAAACGTTACCTTCTCAGAAAGGCCTTCGCTGAACCCCAGAGGCCAGATCACCCACCCTGTTGTACTCTCAAACAGTACTCTGTACTTTTCTGCCACATTTATAACAGTTTATATGTATTAGTGTGATTTATGTGTAATGCCTATAAATCTTGCTGAAGTAAAGCTATGTTCAAGCCACTCTTATGTTCAAAGTCCTTTAATGTTCTGGTCTCTTCAGAATGACAATTAAATGAGGCTGTCCATAGTTTGTAACAGGAAAGCCTGAGGAGAATGAAGATCTAAGAAGTTAAGAAGTTTAAGAAGATCTAAGAGTTACCAGCTATTGAATCTTGGGTAAGTTTTGGGGGCCTCCCAGCAACTAATTTACTCATTCATAAAATGGTGATATTAATATATATCTGATATGGTTAGGAGAACCAAATGTCAACTAATGTGAAAATGCTTTTTAATAGTAACACAGTATCTATCATCTTGATACTTTTTAAGTTGAGTAAAATGCATATGGCATAAATTTATCATTAGTAACATTTAATACATTTATAATGTTGTGCAACTATCACTATTGGAGACTTCTTTTTGTCACTCCTTTTCACATTCCCTACACCTCTGTGCTTACCCTCCCTCTGTCCAAAATGGCATAGTTCTCTGTGTTTGGAATACCTCTTTTAAGACCTAACTGTAACTTAATTTCCTTCATAAAGTTGTTCTTGATCTGTAATTGCTGAGAATAACCACTCTATTTATGTATAATGCCTTTAACAGTTTACCTTTCTTCTAATACAACTGAATTCTCACCCAGTGTAGTCACCAACCTACAAATTCTGTGAGGGCTAAAACCACAGTTTATCCACCTCTATAGCCACACAAGTTTGTACTATTTCAAAAGAGGACTACAGCACAGTTCTTTAAATGACTTGACTTTTGCTCACCACGAAGGTTCTCTTTCTAATTCCATAATTACTCTATATTAGGAAAAGTATATTTTGAATTGAAGAAAATATATAGATGGGCATTTTTCATTAGAATAGTGATATATAGAAGAACACAAGGCTATAAGCTAAAAATGTGAATTTTAGTCTTGATAATTCATATAGCCTTTTGAACTGTAGCTTTCATATATTAACAGGTGGTTCAACAATCTATAAACCAAAATCAATAATGTTGTTAAGTCCCAGTCTCCTACATGTAAAACAGTCACAGTCTACAAAGAACCAATTCCTTGACTTGTTTTTTTATGAAGCTTATCTCTCTTTTAGGTTGCTGTTCTCATTTCCATAGTATGTTGGAGAAAGTTTATAGGACTCTCCAAAGCACAGTATATACAGTTAGCTGGCTAATGAGAACTGATTCCTTGCAAGACAGTTTTTGCCTGTTAATAACAGTAATGGTAAATAATAACACAGGTATATAACATAGCTTATGAATGTGCTTTCTTCACATGTATCATTCCATCTGGTGCTGGTGGAATCTACCCAGATGCGACCTTGGGAAGCCAGAAGTGCATAAGACGATGGATTTTACAACTTATTTTGGGATTCAGAGCAATTACATTCCCTTCCTCAGAGCCAAGAAAGGTGAGGAAAGGGAAGAAAGCGGTAGAGATCAATATACATTTACCATACTCTTCATCACATTCTGACAACTGGACAGTAAGCAATATGAAGGCAGAGCCTGTGTCTGTCTTGTTTACCAATACAATTCTAGCACCACACATCCACTGTACGTGGCACATATTGGGATTTCAATAAATATTTGTGAATTAATAAGTGGATAAGGTTACGATGTGATATAAAAAAGAGACACCTTAGGGAGGTCACCAGATATTGCTAACCATGACAGTATTTGCCTTCTTTCAGTGGGGAGAGTTTTTCCTTTGTCGAAGTGATTGTAGATAGTAGGATCTTCACATTTCAACAAAAAGACAGAGATCGTCAGCCCCACTAAGCAGTGTAGCCCTTAGCTATTCCCTTACCTTTATTCGCGAACTGGGGTTAAGCATGATGTATTTAATGGAACCTTGGATGTTCTCTGTCCAGGAGACCAGCCAAGTAACCTTATTATCATGCCGGACCTCTTTCCACTTATGTCCTGGAGGAGGAGAAGGAACCTTGGAATCTCTGTGGAAACAAAGGAAGAGGACAGTGAAATGAGAAGTGAGGGACAATTTTACCTTTCATGACCCAAAGTGGACATATCTGCTGAGCATATATTTCCAAGTTTCCTCCTCATCACTCAATACAGTAGTCCCTCCTCATCTGCAGTTTTAGTTACTCATGGCCAATCATAATTAGAAAATATTAAATGAAAAATTCCAGAAATAAACAATTCATAAGTTTTAAGTTGCACAGCATTCTGAGTAGCATGATGAAGTCTCTCGCCACTCTACTCAGGATGCAAAGCATTCCCTTGTCCAGCATGTCCATGCTGTACATACCCTGTCTGCTAGCCATTTAGTAGCCATCTCAGTTATCAGATTAGTTGTCACAGTTTTGCAGTGCAATGTTCAAGTAACCCTTATTTTACTTAAGAAGTACAAAGTACAAATTGCTAGTGCCAATTCAGAAAGTACTGCAAGTGGAAAGGTGAAAGTTCTTGACTTACTAAAGAAAAACAAAAAATCAAAAATCTACAGTAAGAACAAATCTATCTGTGAACCTGTGAAGAAGCAAAAAATAAATCATGCCTAGTTTTACTATTGCACCTGAAACTATAAAGATTACAGCCACTGTGTATGATCAGTGCTTAGTTAAGACAGAAGAGAAATTAAATTTGTGGGTGGAAGACATGAACAGAAATGTATTCCAATTGATGGCAATCAAGTTTGGTACTATTCATGGTTTTAGGCATCTACCAGGTAGGGTGTCATAGAATGTATCCCCCATATTTAAGGGGAGACTACTGTACCTAAAAAACATTTGGAGACCTATACATGGAAATACCATGTTGCTTTTAAATATTTCCTTCCCAAACAGTCCTCTGTAACTTTGGAAATATTCCCAACTACTTAAAACAAAAAAAGCCCTCCACCTCATTTTTGGCCCAAAGGATGAACTATATGCTCACTTGCTACAGTTGATAATTATATCCTCAGGCATGATTCGTCTCTTCAGCATGCCCATCTTGGGGTGGTTGCCACGGCCACGGAAAAGCCCAGGAGGCTCTATCTTGAAGTTGGCAATCCTCTCTTTGTGGTTATCCATAATACAGAAGCCATATTCCTTCAATAATTTTTCATTCTCCTCTTTGATTTTCTGGAAGATAACAAGGAAGTACTAAAAATGGGTTCAAACTACTGTTCTATCATTTTTATTTCTCATGGGAAAACAGGTCATGGTAGAGAAAAGTCTAAAAATCAGTAAAAAATGAATTCAAATGAAAGAAAATCTCTAATGCATTTCTCTGCTAAATACAATAAAATTCCCCCCAAAGATCTGCCTGTAAAGGTTGACTTCAACTACATTTGAAACTGATTCTTGTACCCTAAAGGATGTGTGTTTATGAGTGTTGTTTGGGGGTTTTTAAATGTATTTTAAATATTCATATTGTTTTGTTGAGTAATGTCAAAACAGGAGATGAAGTATCTGATGGGCCTCATGAAAGAACAGCCCTGTGGCCACTTACCTGACTAGCCTTTCACATGGGGTTTTAAGCCCAGACAAATCTGCCATGGATTCTTTAAGTATATAGATATATGCACTCTATATCTTTGCTCCAAAAAAGTAGGATGTGGAGAAGGGCAGGAGGATTTTGAGTCTCTTTACCCTCTATTGACTCTTCACTACCTTATATTTATATTTGGTGATTCAATTTAACTTAATCCTGCTGCCTTGTGGGTGGAAAAAGACTCAAGTCGCTGGCAACAGGTGTCCTTGGCAGGGGCTCTGACAAGGGGATGTTTATAAAACCTCTCTATCTTTGGATTACTATTCCAAGAACAAAGCTCCAAAGTGATCTGTAAGTTTAAAAATACCCCTGAAATAAATAATTATACTAAAATTTCACTAATTTGGAATGAGAATAAGGTTAACCTGAGACTGATAAGTCTGATACAATTATCATTCTTACAGTAACCCACCCATCCATCCATCCATCCATCCATCCATCCATCCATCCATCCATCCATCCATCCATCCATCCATGGACAGAGCTTTGCTTCATTCATTCATTTATTTAGACAAACTCTTGCTCTGCCACTTTGGCTAGAGTGCAATGTCATCACTGCTCACCTCAACCTCAAACTCCTGAGCTCAAGTGATCCTCCTGCCTCAGCCTCTCAAGTAGCTGGGACTATAGGCACATGCCACCACGCCCGGCTGATTTTTTCTATTTTTAATAGAGACAGAGGCTCGTTCTTGCTCAGACTAGTCTTGAACTCCTGACCTCAAACGATCCTCCCACTTTTTAATTTTTTTGTAGAACCACGGTCTTGCTTTGTTGACCAGGCTGGTCTCAAATTCCTGGCCTCTGCCTCCCAAATTGCTGGGATTACAGGTGTGGGCCACCACACCCCTCATTAATTTTTAAACCAACAGGCAAATGAGTACTATCAAACAATGAGTTACCTAAATGCAATTGCTTAAATTATATAAACATGCAAATCCTTTAAAGTACTGAAACTATAGGGCTTTGAAGTACAGAGAATTTCTAAAAATCCTTAATTTCTGGACTTCTGATTGGAAAAAATGAAATGCTAGTCTGGAATCCTCCAGTTCAGGGACTGGCAACCTTTTTCTAAATAGAAAATATTTTAGGCTTGAGGGCCATACAATCTCTGTTACAACTATTCATTTCTGCCACTGTTGCATAAAAGCAGACATAGATAAAATGTAGATAAGTAGGGATATGTGTTCTAATAGAACTTTATTTATAAGAACAGGCAGCATGTAGAAGAAAATAACATCCCAACTGGAAACTAGAAAGATCATTCAGCAATGAGCATGGCCAAGACTAGAAGATGGAGATGGATGAGCATGGCTAGATTTCAGAGTAAAACAGATCAAAAAACAGGGAGGTACATGGCCAATATTATCTCACCTGTCTTAAATCCTTAATATCCAGTAGCTATTGTGGGACAGGTCTGCTCATTCTTAAATACTATATTATTGGAGTTTACTGAATGATTTTTAGGTCAGTGGAATACCAGTGGAATACTCTTATACTGAGCTATTGAACAAAGTGCTTATTCACAATTTTCAGTCTAAGTCCTTGAGAAAATTTAGACTTTGTTAAGGCTTAGAATTCTAAATCGTTAGCATAGAATGATGTGAAATGACTGAAGTCAATGTTGTGTCACTAGAACCAAGAAGAAAATGAGATGAACTAATCATTATTCCAAAATTCTCCAGAGGTTTAATAAATTCCGTAGTACCAGTTTCTCTTCCTTGTTCATTTGTTTCCGAGCTTCCGACTGGGCTTTGAAATACTGGCTCATCTGGGTAAAATCACATTTGCTTAGATTGGTGATAATATTCTTCTCTTCATTAGTCATTTCCTACTCAAAAGAAAAGGCAGAAGAAAAAGAACATATACACTAATAAGTCCCTGGGCTTCTTTGCGATTATAGTAAAGCACCATTTTTTCAGTCAGTGTCTGAAGCGGTGGCCAATCTAAATTAGTGAATTTTATAGAGAATACATAATTCTATTACTTTGTTCTATTATAAAATATGTATTTAATATAAAAATGTTTTAAGTGATTTATTATTGCAAAAGATTAACTCATATGTAGTTTCTTGGGCTTCTTGGCACACTGCCACAAATCCCGAGGCATACAGCAAATACTAGTTTGAGAAACATGTATGTCATTTAGTAATAAGAGAAGTATTTCCATACTCATTCTCCCTTAGAAACATTGCCCCTTCTTTATTCATGTATTAAATCTGATTTTCAGAGCCAATTCAGGAGGTAAATTTCAGTTCTGCCTCTGTCCACATTATCCAAACTCAGAATAGAGATTTTTTAAATCACCAAGGCAGATATATGTGGTTTCAAGAGGAGAAAGTACCCAAAGCAAATGAGGAAGAATCAAGAGGGAATGGGAAATCAGATTAACATTTCTCTTTGCAACAGCAAACAAAGGGCAGTCCTGCGGAGACAAACTTTCCTTTGCCCTACTGCAGTTGGCCTAATCTGATCAACCTCCTCCTCAGTCATGAGAGCTGACAGAAGAAAGAAATGGAAGTATTCTTGTTGGATAGGAATGCCATACAATATAGCAAGTAATTAGACATTTGTAACAAAATTCATAAAACTCAAATTTTACATCAGGGAATTTTTTGTAAAATCATAATTTATTACTTAGTACTTGATCAATGTATTTTTAAGGTACTAGGATATTAATACATGGGCTACAATACCTTTCTCCAGTCTTTAAAGAAATTTTTCCTAAATATTTCCTTAGTAGTATATTCATGGTCCAGCATTTTTGCAAAGAATGTAGCTACTTCTTCTGCTTTGGGGCTCAGCTTCATGACTTTACCTAGAGGAAAAAGTGGTTCCAAAATGTGAGGTGTATTATTCATGTTCTATAAATACTGAGCACTGGAGATGTCTTCTTTATTAATGGTTTGCCTTCCCATGGTATATAAAGGTCTAGTGACACATAGTAAGAACAACAATAACAAAACAACATACTGATTTATATCTACTTATATAAATTCTCCTTCTCTTTAGCAGATATTTACCTGGGTCATTCTCTGGAGACTATGCCAGTTAATTGTTCCCAGGTGCCTG